GGGCCTCGTCCCTGGGCTGTGTGAGAGCTCCCCCTGCTGTCTCCCTCTCTTCATGGCTCTCTTCACACTGCCTGCTCGTCCAGTAAAGCAAGTACAGACAACCACTAATCAAGAATACTAGTTCCAGCTGGGCTTGATGGCGCACGCCTGTAATCCCAGCACTTTGAGAGATCGAGGTGGGCGGATCACCTGAGGTCGGGAGTTTGAGACCAGCTTGGCCAACATGGTGAAACCCCATCTCTACTAAAAATACAAAAATTAGCTGGGCGTGGTGGTGCACACCTGTAATCTCAGCTACTCAGGAGACTGAAGCAGAATTGCTTGAACCTGGGAGAGAGAGGTTACAGTGAGCCAAAATCGTGCCACTGCACTCCAGCCTGAGCAACAGAGTGAGATTCTGTCTCGAAAAGAAAAGAGAAAAGAATACTAGTCCCTGGGATCCTCTTCTGGAAGGCTTTTACCATCTCGGCCTTCAGCCTAGTGTGGGAACTTCACGCTGTCACTTCAGAACCTTGTTTCCTCCTGTTCTTTCAGTTCTTGGATGTGTTTTTCCCTCCCTGTGGTCTTCTCTCACTATTACCCTAGGTGTGTTCTCCGGGCCTCCTGACAGTTTAGAGGTGAGCCATTTCAGAAGGTGTCATCTAGCTTCCCATTCATCTGTTCTGCCTCTGTCTCCTCTCTGCCCCTTTCCACGGAGCTTTTTTATATTTGCAAATAGGAAGGCAGAGTGCCATCTTTTTCAGAACTCCATGCCTCAGGTCCCCACCTCTCATCCACCATACAGTTCCATCTGGATAAATGGTGTCCTCGTATCTCTCACCTGCCTCTAGAGTCTGGTCTGGTTCTCTTCCAGATCCAGCAGAGATCAAGACTGGAAGGAATGGGGAGGTAGTATGAAATGCAGCAGCAAGGAGGCAAAGATTGCTGAATACTCTGGTCCTAATACTTGTTCTTTTTCTAGCCATGGCACTGAAGAGGGACAGCAAATCTTGCAGCAGCCGGTGCCAGAGAGACTGGACTTTGTGTGCAGCTTTCTGCAGAGTAAGCACCTTTCTTATCCAGCTGTGAAGAAGCTGCTTCCTCAGCGCGTGAGATTGGAGAGTCCAGAGGAACTAGTTCATGGGTGTCTGGAGGAGAAAAATTTCAAGGCCCCCTACTCTTTAATGCAAAGATGAAACAGCTGGCTCACATCCCCTGAGTCTTGTGATGCCTCCATCAGTTGGTGTAAGAAGCGTCCCTTCAGTCCTAGAGCCCGTCTCAGAGATCCAGGTGGACCCAGAAGGTCACTTTTTGGGACTGATCACCTTGACTCAGCACCTTGAGCTTCTGTTCCCCCAACTTCAAGGAGACAGAAGAGAATGACTCTCTTTCCCTTGCAAGAAAAACTGTTTTTTCCCAAATAACTTTGAATTAATTGCTTAGGCGATAGTTATAGGGGCAGAGGCAGATTAAGGTTCATCTTGACCCCCCCTCACTGCTTGTATGACTTTCTGGACATAGGTTCCCTATGTATAATGTGGAGATGATAACTAGTGTTAAGCGGCTGGGTAGATTAAGTAAGTACACATGCAGAGATTCCAGTGCAGTGCTTTCACTTCCTCTACCCTTGTTCAGCCTTAGACCGCAGAGTCCTCATCTTTGACATGGGGAGCTAGCTGCCATCTCCACTCCCAGATAATTATAGGAAAGGTGAGGTTATAGTTCGATAAAGCAAGGTGTTAGTAATTGAGCCCAGACCCTCTGGCAGCATAAGAGTCAGGTATCCTCAGTTGTCCTCTTCTGACTCAGCTGCAGGCTTCCTCTGTGACCTCAACTGGATTCTAAAGTCACCTGGCATCTCTGGGTTCTTCCTCTGTGGTGCTGAGAGAGGGTTGGTGAGTGGGTGGGAGAGTGCAATGTCATGACCCAGAGTTGCTGTGAATTCCCAGGCTGCTTTCTTCTTCCACTATCCCTGTACCCCATGGACTGACCCAGGATAGAACAGACTTCAGATGGAAAATTGTAAGGCAGGGGAAAGAGGGTATAGGATTAAGGAGCCCTACATCTCATAGCCCCACCAGAGACAGCCATTCTACTCCTCAGATTTAAGTGTTTTGGAATCTCAGGTATGGTTCCCAGGAAGTTCACCCTGTTTTCTACATTGTCATTGCAGAAAATCGAAAACATCCCTCTTCTCCAGAATGCCTGGTGTCTGCACAGAAGGTGCTAGAGGGATCAGAGTTGGAACTGGCCAAGGTACCTAAGGAATGCCAGACTGGGGAGGCAGTACAGGGTAGGGGTGATGGTACCTGAGGGACCCTGCAGGGCCTTCTCTTAACCCAAGGGGAAATGGTAGGTGCCTTATTCCTGGGGCTCTGGTATGTTGGAGGTAGAACCAGGCAGTCACCTGTCTGAGACAGAGGCTAATTTAGCCCAAGGATTCTAGGAGCCCATGGTCTTATGACAGTGATTATCAGACAAACAGCAGTTTACTAGACCATTACTGTGGTCCTCGGTGGAGACCTGCCAGAAATTATGTCTCACTCAGCTATCACCATATTTTTATTATAGCTCAGTCTACATCATTCTCTCTGCACTTTCTGGGTACTGGCCTGTAGAGGGTACCTAAAGCTTCACACCCAGGGTTCTATGAGTTCAGGAATTGAGCCATACAGGAATCTTGGCACCCAGCTTTTTGTACAGTGTGCATTGTGTCCTTAATTAAAAAAAAAAAAAAAAAAAGCATTTCCTGGAGCTGTTAAGGATGGTGGCCTGGGGCTGCTGAATTCTAGGAGTTTTGGAAGAGTCCCCAGAATAGGAGCACTGAGAAGAGAGACAGCCCCACTCAGTGACTGCCTGCTGTTTGGCTTCTAGATGACCATGCTGCTCTTATACCACTCTACCGTGAGCTCCAAAAGCCCCAGGGACTGGGAACAGTTTGAATATAAGATTCAGGTAAGCCCTTGTGTAAGCCACCCCAACTAGTGGGCCTACCCCATGCTTTACCTCACCCAACTCGTTTTTCTTTAAATAGCTGATGCTGGTCTTTTTAAAAATACATTTGTAGTAATTATTTCCATTAATCATAGAAAATCTGGGAAATGTTGAAAAGCATGAAGAAGGAAATAGCAGTTGCCGATAAACTCATACCCAGAGGTTGCTAACTTTTTAAAGGATATACCTTCAAGTCCTTTTTTATGTGCATATATTTAACTATAATGTGTTTTAGGATAATACATAGAAATTATTTTCTGTTCTTATATGTGTTTCTGTGTGTGTGTATGCTTTCCATAGAACTTTAACTTTATCTCATCCTTTCCTCTGGTAGGGTCATCTGGAAGAGGCCAATATAATTATATATAAAAGCTTCCTGGCCTGTGGGAAGCTTTTATATATAATTTTATATATAATGTGGTGGCTCATGCCTATAATCCCAGCACTTTGGGAGGCCGAGGCAGGAGGATTGCTTGGGGCCAGGAGTTTAAGATCAGCCTGGGTAACATAGTGAGACCCTGTCTCAACAAAAAAGATTTTTTAAAAAAATGAGCTGGGTGTGGCAGTGTGTGTCTGTAGTTCTAGCTACTTGGGAGGCTGAGAAGGATCACTTGACTCCAGGAGTTAGAGGTTATAGTGAGCTATGATTGTGCCACTGTACTCTAGCCTAGGTAACAGAGCAAGACCTTGTTTCTTAAAAACAGCAACAACAGTAACAATAAAACCAACTTTCTGATTGTATTACTTTCCTTACCAGTCACTTCACTTGTGGTCAGGAGTGAAGTCAGTCAGGAACTCTGACTTGGGTATATCTTTAGGGGAGGTGGGAGGGAAGGGGGCAAGTAGGGTGAACATATCTCTAGTTGAATGTTGCTGGCTGGGCCATAGGACCTCAGTTCTGAGAGGGAGAGTGGGATCCAGCAGGCTCCTAGGGCGCGTGGGAGCTAGGGACTGGCACTGCCAGGGTAGAGCTCCTGGCAGCCATCCCTTTGGGGGCCTGACACCTAAGTGATGCTCTTTTTCTCTCTGTGGCCCAGGCTGAGTTGGCTGTCATTCTTAAATTTGTGTTGGACCATGAGGATGGGCTAAACCTTAATGAGGACCTAGAGAACTTCTTACAGAAAGGTGAGTAGGTACACATTCCTGAGGATCCCCTCATCTCTGAACTGGGGACTACTAGGATCCTGAGTTGTCAAGAAGTGCAGTGGGGATTTGTTTCTGTCCCCAGCGCAAGGCAGAGTTGGTGCTCAGGAAAATTGTGTAGTGAAGTAGGTCGATTTCTGGGCCATGTTGTATCATCTCAGTTCCTACGGAGCTCCTTGCTGCGTGGCAGCAGCCAAGTGAGATATTTACAGGTGATCATATCTACTTTTGTTTTTTATTTTTTTTATTTTTTTGAGATGGTATCTTGCTCTGTCACCGGGCTGGAGTGCAGTGGCACGATCTCGGCTCACTGCAATCTCTGCCTCCCGGGTTCAAGTGATTCCTCTGCCTCAGCCTCCTGAGTAGCTGGGACTACAGGCATGCATCACCATGCCTGGCTGATTTTTTGTATTTTGGTAGAGGCGGGGTTTCACCATGTTGGTCAGGATGGTCTCTATCTCCTGACCTTGTGATCCGCCTGCCTCGGCCTCCCACAGTGCTGGGATTACAGGCGTGAGACCTTGTGCCCAGCCTTGTTTTTATTTTTTAAACAATTATTACTCTAGGCTTAGAAGCTGAGAATACGCAGTCTTTTTTTTTTTTTTGGACAGAGTTTCACTCTGTCACCCAGGCTGGAGTGCAGTGGCACAGTCTTGGCTCACTGCAACCTCCGCCGCCTGGGTTTAAGTGATTCTCCTGCCTCCCGAGTTAGCTGGATTACAGGCGCATGCCACCACACCCGGCTAATTTTATATTTTTAGTAGAGATGGGGTTTGACCTTGTTGGTCAGGCTGGTCTCAAAGTCCTGACCTCAGGTGATCCGCCCGCCTTGGCCTCCCAAAGTGTTAGGATTACAGGCATGAGCCACCGCGCCTGGCTCACAGTCTTTTTAAAAAATGTTTTTCCTGTCATATAGTGCATGTTCTAGGTGGAAAGGCAGATACATACACCAGTAAATATGATAAGGAATCTAAGTACAGAATATATCAACTGTCTCAGCTGGTGCTACAGTAGAGTGATCATTTGCCAGTCTTCTGATGAAGAGGTCAGCTGGTGATGATAGGAATGTAAGAAGGAGGTCTAGATAAGTTCTAGCCATTGAGTTTGATGTTCCTTGTGTTCAAGCTCCTCATGAGACCTTCAAGTAGAGATGTTGGAAATGTGAGTCCAGAATTCAGGAGCGGACCCTGGACTAGAAGATAGGTTTGCAAGTCAGCAGGTGGATGGCCACTGAAGCCATAGGCACTGTGTGCAAAGCCAGGAGGCCCCATCAGACCTCTGGGAGCTTACAGGGTGGGCAGAGGAGGGAGGAGCAGATGAAGAGACTAAGAACAGGTGATGAGACGTAGGAGAGTCCTACAGACGTGGTTACTTCTGTGGGAACCTAGGAAAGAGAAGAGTTTTGAGAAGGAGAGCATTTTGGAGGTACAATACTTGAGGGTAGAAGAATTCCAAATGGCGACCAGTGGCTCTGATAGGAAAGGTTGTTGGGGGCTGTGAAAAGATCCTGCTCAGGGTTCCCCAAGCCGTCTCTGCAGTGCTGACTTGAGGAAAAAGCTTGAGCACTTGGTCCAGTTTCTGAGCCAGAGGATACCCTCACTCCACTGTACTGTGAGTCGTGATGCTCTGTAGAAACGGAAGCCCTGCACTTGATTTTGGTTAGAGACACGGAACTCTGGATAACCCAGACACCAGGTTTCAGGTTCTGCCCAGTGGCTTCCTTGGTAGTTTACATATAAGTGTCCACGGATTCACTCCCACTAAGGCGAGTTCTCAAATTGCATAAAGGTCAAATCTTTTCACCTTACTAACCTTTGTTGATTTGTCTGTTTCTTACCTGTCCCTTCTACATGTTCTAGCACATTCCCTGAAGAGCCCTCCCCACCTAGCCACCAGACCAAGAGGGAGATTCGCTTCCTAGAGCTACAAAAGGTTGCCTCCTCTTCCAGTGGGAACAAGTATGTTCTGGGCCTCTCCTCCTGGGATAGGGCCTCAGCCTCTATCCATTCCTCACATCCCTACCTTCTAGAGTTAAGCTATTGAGCAGCCTCTGGGAGTGCTTGGAGTATCCTTTAGATTTGTGATTTCCCCACCTCACCCAGTACTAATTGGGGAAATTGGTTGGGATTTGTCATGGGCAGGAGGCCTTCCTCAAAAGCTGATCCCTATTTATGGAATATCCTTCTTCCTCGGATACTACAATGAAGTCCCTCCTCTTAGCATATCTCTGCAGAGGTAAGGAGAATATATCACTTTTTTTTTTTTTTCCTGACAAGCAAATTAAGTCAGTGAGAAGAAAAGTTTTCTCAAGATTATGTCATGAGACTTGAGGTAGCACTGCAAACAGAACCAAGGTGCACAGGCCTCCCAGCTGCTAGTGTGCACGTCCACACCCAGCTTTCCCCTGGCTGCCTGTTGCTCTTTGCTTCAGATCTTAGGCTCTTACCAATGCACCTGGGCCTTCTCCCCCCTCAGCTTCCTCTCAGGTTCCCCAGCGTCTCCCATGGGCGATATCCTGCAGACCCCACAGTTCCAGATGAGACGGCTGAAGAAGCAGCTTGCCGATGAGAGAAATAATAGGGATGAGCTAGAGCTGGAGCTGGCCGAGAACCGCAAGCGCCTCACTGAAAAGGGTAGGTGCCTGGCACGCTGGCAGATGTGTGTGAATGGACTTACCAGAGGGATGTCCCCTTGACCTCCTGTGTTGTCCCCTCTGCTGACTCTGGACCTTAGAGCTCAGCCCTGGGCCTGTGGTCAGGCTGACCTCCTGAAAGTTGTGTTCTGTCTTTGTCCCCATCTTCTCTTTCCCTTAGATTGGATACCATATTCCTCCTCCTCCCTATGTTGCCTCCTCCTTTTCCCTCCTTCACATAGTTCTGTGCTGATTCTCTTTTCTTCCTTCCTCCACTTTGGGCAGATGCACAGATAGCCATGATGCAGCAGCGCATTGACCGCCTGGCCCTGCTGAATGAGAAGCAGGCGGCCAGCCCACCAGAGCCCAGGGAGCTTGAGGAGCTGCGTGACAAGAACGAGAGGTACAGCCGTCCCTGCATTCCTTCCCAGGCCCCAGCCCCTCCCTGCACCCAGCCTGGGGCCTATACGCTGTTCTCACTGCTTCCCTCCTTCACAGCCTTACCATGCGGCTGCATGAAACCCTGAAGCAGTGCCAGGACCTGAAAACAGAGAAGAGCCAGATGGATCGCAAGATCAACCAGCTTTTGGAGGAGAATGGAGACCTTTCCTTTAAGGTGGGTGTTACGGTGGTCTGTGCATGGAGGCCTCTCAGGGCTAAGGTGGTTTGGAAGGCTCCCCAAGGGAGGGTTGAGAAGAATGTCCCACCTGTCTTATGCTTCAGTCTCTCCAGAGACCTGCATATTTTGCCCCTTTCCTTGTCCCATAATTGGCTACTTCCAGGGTGCTGGGTTGTGACCCTCAATTTTGATTTGTAGTCCTGAATTAGAAGTGTGATGGCTGTGATTGGTTTCTGGAAGGCTGGCAGGATAATTGGAGGCATTCTGCCCCTGAGGTTCAGGGAGCAGACAGCAGTGGTGGGGTCAGTGTTGACCCTGGGATTCCCACTTGCCCTTCTCAGCTGCGAGAGTTTGCCAGTCACCTGCAGCAGCTACAGGATGCCTTCAGCAAGCTAACAGAGGAGCACAGCAAGGCCACTCAGGAGTGGCCGGAGAAGCAGGCCCAGCTGGAGAAGGAGCTCGGCGCAGCCCTGCAGGACAAGGTAACCCTCTGCTGGGGTCACAACCAGTCTTGAGCACACGTGCAAAGTTGAGTCCAGTTTGCCACTCTGCTCTTCTGGGCCTTTGGGTATTAAGCTGCTTTCTCTTCAGGGTTCAACAGTGTGCTGTTGTGTGAGCTTAAGTCTAGTACACACTAGACTTTTTTTTTTTTAATTTTTTAATTTTTTTTCCCCACTCAGTGCCCCCACTTTACAGTACACCTTTCAGTCCTATCTCTGCTGTTTACAAGATGTGGATCTTGGACAAATTAATCAATCTGTTTCTCTAAGCATCCTTTCCCTAAAATGGGAGTAATAACGAGTAGCTGCCTCATCACCTATTACGAGATAATGTATGTAAAGCACTCCACACATCGTGTAGTGTCAAGTAAGCTCTCAGTGAAGCAGTTGCTATTATTATTGTTGCTACTGGTAAGAACTCAACTTGGTCACTTACTAATAACTGTGTAGCCCTCAATCAAGGCACTTAGCATCTGGGCTTCAGGTTCTTGCTCTGTAAGGGACATAGTAATACCTGCCTCCCACATTTGTAGGTGAATTAGAAATTCAGGGATATACCCAGGCCGGGCACAGTGGCTCACACCTGTAATCCCAGCACTTTGGGAGGCCAAGGTGGGTGAATCACCTGAGGTCAGGAATTCAAGACCAGCCTGGCCAACGTGGTGAAACCCCATCTCTACTAAAAATACAAAAAAAAAAAAAAAAAAAAAAAAAGCTGGGTGTGGTGGTGCACGCCTGTAGTCCCAGCTACTCAGGAGGCTGAGGCAAAAGAATCGCTTGAACCTGGGAGGCGGAGGTTGCAGTAAGCTGAGATCTCACCGTTGCACTCCAGCCTGGGCGACAGAGTGAGACTGTCTTAAAAAGAATTCAGGGATGCACCCAGTACAGCCTATTGTAGGTGCTTAGTGAACAGTGGTGAGGAAGTGGGTTTGGGACTGGGGGGTGCTGCATTGCTGCTTCTGGTGGTATTGCTGCCCAGAGGATGGTGGGCAGCTGGTGGTGGTTTGGATCATCCAGGACTGAAGACTTATCTGAGGAAGGGTAGACAGTAAGGAAATTTGAAGTAAACTCAGCAGGCTTGGGGAAGTAGTAAGTAGGTCACATTATGACTTGATTCTGCCTTAGAACTAAGTCTAGAGAGTCAGGTCCCTCACGGTCCCAGTTCCATGGTTTCTGCTTTTTTCTAGGCCAGGGGAAAAGGAGATGTTGGTAACAAGATGATGGGCCCCATGTTTGTTAATGGTCATGAGGGCTGGTGTGGTAATCTGGTGCTTGTTCTACCTCTCTGTTCACATGGGTCTCATTTACTCCCAGAAATGCCTTGAAGAGAAGAATGAAATCCTTCAGGGAAAACTTTCACAGCTGGAAGAACACTTGGCCCAGCTGCGGGAGAACCCACCCCAGGAGAAGGGTGAGGTGCTGGGTGATGTCTTGCAGGTAGGAATGCACAGGAAGACCTGTGTGCTGGGGGGTTGGTATGGACTCACATTTGGTACATTTGGGTTCCTGGTGTTCCTCCATTCCCAGAGGGGCTTGGTGACTGAGGAGTCATGCTGATCCCAATTTGTCTCTTTATACCACCAGTTGGAAACCTTGAAGCAAGAGGCAGCCACTCTTGCAGCAAACAACACACAGCTCCAGGCTAGGGTGGAGACGCTGGAGACTGAGCGGGGCCAGCGGGAAGCCAAGCTGCTTGCTGAGCGGGACCACTTTGAAGAAGAAAAGCAGCAGCTGGCTAGCCTGATCGCCGACCTGCAGAACTCTATCTCCAGCCTCAGCCAGGCCAAGGAAGAGCTGGAACAGGCCTCCCAGGCTCGTGAGGCCCAACTGACTGGCCAGGTGGCCTCTCTGACCTCTGAGCTCACCACACTCAATGCCACCATCCAGCAACAGGATCGAGAACTGGCCAGCCTGAAGCAGCAGGCCAAAGAGGAGCAGGCCCAGCTAGCACAGACTCTCCAACAGCAAGAACAGGCCTCCCAGAGCCTCCGCCACCAGGTGGAGCAGCTGAGCAGCAGCCTGAAGCAGAAGGAGCAGCAGTTGAAGGAGATAGAGGAGAAGCAGGACGCAACTAGGAGGGACCACGCCCAGACACTGGCCACTGCTGCAGAGGAGCGACAGGCCTCCTTAAGAGAGCGGGATGCAGCTCTACAGCAGCTGGAGGCACTGGAAAAGGAGAAGGCTACCAAGCTAGAGATTCTGCTGCAGCAGCTTCAGGCTGCTAATGAAGCCCGAGACAGTGCCCAGAGCTCAGTGACAGAGGCCCAGAGGGAGAAGGCAGAGCTGAGCCAGAAGGTGGAAGAACTCCAGGCCCGTGTTGAGACAGCCCGCCAGGAACAGCATGAGGCCCAGGCCCAGATAGCAGAGCTAGAGGTCCAGCTGCACTCTGAGCAGCAAAAAGCAAATGAGAAAGAAAGGGTGGCCCAGGAGAAAGACCAGCTCCAGGAACAGCTCCAGGCCCTCAAAGAGTCCTTGAAGGTCACCAAGGGCAGCCTTGAAAAGGAGAAGCGCAGGGCTGCAGATGCCCTGGAAGAGCAGCAGCGTTGTATCGCTGAGCTGAAGGCAGAGACCCGAAGCCTGGTGGAGCAGCGTCAGCAGGAACAAAAAGAGCTGGAAGAAGAGAAGGCTAGGCGCAAGGGGCTGGAGGCTCGATTACAGCAGCTTGGGGAGGCCCATCAGGCTGAGACTGAAGCCCTGCGGGGGGACCTGGCAGAGGCCATAGCTGCCCAGCGCACGGCTGAGAGTGAATGTGAGCAGCTGGTCAAAGAGGTAGCTGCCTGGCGTGAACGGTATGAGGATAGCCAGCAAGAGGAGGCACAGTATGGCGCCATGTTCCAGGAACAGCTGATGACTTTGAAGGAGGAATGTGAGAAGGCCCGCCAGGAGCTGCAGGAGGCAAAGGAGAAGGTGGCAGGCATAGAATCCCACAGTGAGCTCCAGATAAGCCGGCAGCAGAATGAGCTAGCTGAGCTCCATGCCAACCTGGCCAGAGCACTCCAGCAGGTCCAGGAGAAGGAAGTCAGGGCCCAGAAGCTTGCAGACGACCTCTCCACTCTGCAGGAAAAGATGGCTGCCACCAGCAAAGAGGTGGCCCGCTTGGAGGCCTTGGTGCGCAAAGCAGGTGAGCAGCAGGAAACATCCTCCCAGGAGTTAGTCAAGGAGCCTGTGAGGGCAGGAGACAGAGAGCCCGAGTGGCTAGAAGAGCAACAGGGACGTCAGTTCTGCAGCACACAGGCAGCACTGCAGGCTATGGAGCGGGAGGCAGAGCAGATGGGCAATGAGCTGGAGCGGCTGCGGGTTGCACTGATGGAGAGCCAGGGGCAGCAGCAGGAGGAGCGTGGGCAGCAGGAGAGGGAGGTGGCACGGCTGACCCAGGAGCGGGGCCGGGCCCAAGCTGATCTTGCCCTGGAGAAGGCGGCCAAGGCAGAGCTGGAGATGCGGCTGCAGAACGCCCTCAATGAGCAGCGTGTGGAGTTTGCTACCCTGCAAGAGGCACTGGCCCATGCCCTGACGGAAAAGGAAGGCAAGGACCAGGAGTTGGCCAAGCTTCGTGGCCTGGAGGCAGCCCAGATTAAAGAGCTGGAGGAGCTTCGACAAACCATGAAGGAACTGAAGGAACAGCTGGCTAAGAAAGAAAAGGAGCACACATCTGGTTCAGGAGTCCAATCTGAGGCTGCTGGCAGGACAGAGCCAACAGGACCCAAGCTGGAGGCGCTGCGAGCAGAGGTGAGTAAGCTGGAGCAGCAGTGCCAGCAGCAGCAGGAACAGGTCGACAGCCT